GTTAAGTATAGAAATTCTAATTGAGTCTACCGATGGTCATATATAGGATGATCTTAATCCTGAGTTCTTAACAGACTCTTATTTATGGATTTGTGTCTTTTGATTTACTCGGTGCGGATTCTGAGATCCTGAATCCTATTCTTTGTATTTTGGAGACATGATGAAGTAGGTAGCCGGGAATGTTATTACACGAGATGGAATCCATTCCTTCTTAAGAAATAAGTAGATAAATAATTCTCTTGAGGGTTGATTCGGTACTTGGACCAGTAGGAGCTCCGATTCATGAATGTGTTTTATGAATCACTGTCCATTAGAGAATCAATGGTACTCAAGGATAAAGATTTAATTAGAGAGGTCAACAGATTTTACCTAGCTCTAATTATGAATTATTTATGGATGATTGATCTATATGCAATGACTATATCAAATGGTCACTTCACAGTTTAGAAGTAATTTATGTCTATAATTTCGAGAGTGCAATTCCAAGTTTATAGTGGAGTAACTATTGGAATTAATAGAATTAATTAATTAATTAAAGTGTTTAATTGATTATTAATTTTATTGGAGCTTGGGATTATAGGTCCATTAGTCCCCGCATCGTCCTAGTAATTCTACCAGACATATAGGGCAAAATGGGAATTTTAGAATTACGAAATTCTAAAATTAAACAGTCAAAAATAATTAATTGAATTTGAACACATCTAGATTTATCCATTTAAACTTATTTGATAAGTTGTTCAATTTAGAATTCAAATTAATTTAAGTTTGACTTAAATTGAAATTTGAATTTGAGTCAAAATTGGATTACAGGATAAATGATGATTTTCTCTTCCTTCCCTATCTGAAATTGGCGCCACATAGGGATGAGAATCCCCTATCTTGGCCGGCCACACTTAAGGATAAGAGAATGGAAGATTTTGTTTCAAAATTCAAATAGGAGATAATTAACAAGCTTTATCTAGGAGATAGAGATTGGATTCCTTCTAGAAGTTTGACTTCTACTCTATAAATAAGAGAATAGTATAACATTGTGAATACAATTTTTTGAGACACAATTTTGGATACAATTCTTAAAAATGAATTTTGCCCTAATTTTTAGAGGTGGCCGAAATTCTTTAAGAGTGAGAAGGAAAAATTATTCTCTAAAAATTCCACATCGTGCATGCGTTGGTGTTTGGGGAAATTCGAGTGTTTATTGTAACCCATTTTGTCTCATGTGTGCCCACATACGTCTTCGTGGATTCTAAGAATTGACGTGGAAGACATTGATTTTCTAAACACAAAGCTTTGGAGCAAGGATTGTTCGAGGTCAAAGAACTCAAGTTATCAACTGAGTCGGCCTCCAGGTATTTTTCCTAATTGAGTTCTTAATAAATGAATTAATGAGATTAATTTATTCGTGCATAAATTAATATAATCTATAGAGTATCTCAAAGGTTTTATGAAAATTTTTATTATACACGATCCGCCTTCCCGCCACGCTTCCGCATCCGAATTCAATTCAGAGACCAACATTAAATTACTTACAACCAAAGTAAGACCTTATCACCACCGTAGTGGCCCGTCCGGGTTTCGGGTTCTGCCCCCAAGGATACGATCTCCATATCCTATCTAGGCCATCAGCGGGCTTACCAATTTATAAAATCTTTTGTCTTAAGAAATCATTCATTAAACTTTCTAAAATAGTTCATTATAATTCCAATAGCTAAAATCAAGCTATGGTGTCAAAAGGTTTTTCTTTCGCAAACATGCCCTTTCTTTAAAACATTTGCAAGGTCAAAACTCTTTGAAAATAGGCTAACAAAGAAAGGGATCAGGAATATCCTACCTCTCGGATGTTAAACCTGTAGCTAACTTCTCGTCACCCTAACCTCCGCTTTCCTTAAAGCTTTAATACTTGATCTTCTCCACTAGCTTTATGACAAAAGCAGTGTCTTATGAAGTATTTCTCATTCATAAAACGAATTAAGCTCAATCATGTTTAATTATTTCCTATTAGTGTGCCTTGACTCGAATCTAAATTTCACAAATGATTTTATAATCAGTTTGGGGGTTCTTTAAAGATTGAAATCCAATTCATAGGTTTGGTTTCCTATTTAATTTCGGCTTAAAAACAACTTTTTAAATAAATTTCGGCAGCATGCCGGCATAAATAGGAAAAATGCCAAACCTGCAATTCAAGTTCAATTTCAAAATAAATTCTACAGAATCCATCAAAATCAGTATCCAATCAATTCAACATGTCCAATAACTAAAAACCCCCAAATTTCATTCAATTCTAACAACAATAATTCAAATCCAAACCCTAACTCAAAATTATTCAAATCTAACCAAAATCAAACTTTCTCAAGTTTAAAATTCAAATAAAGAGTGGGTTTCAAGGGGTTTTACCTCAAATTAGTTGATGGAGCATTGTTTCCCTCTATTTCTCCCATTTTCAAGTTTTTTTCTTCCCTGTTTCGGCCGGGAACTCCAAAAGAGAGAGAGAGAGAGAGATAGAGAGAGAGAGAGAGAGAGAGAGAAAGGGAGATAGAGACTGAAAGAGAGAGAGGTGGCCGGAGAGAGGGAGGGAGTGGTGGCCGGCAGTGAAGGAAGAAAGAGAGAGAGAGAGTTTCCGTGGAGAAGAAAGAAGAAAAGGAAAGAAAGAAAGAAAGAAAGAGAGAGAGGGAGAAAGGGCTGGTCTAGGCAGCCACGGGAAGGAAGGGAAGGGAAAAAGAAAAGAAAATATATTAAAATTAAGTGTATTTTTAAAACTTTTGGGGTGAAAATTGAAAAATTGAAAGTAATTTATAAGTCCTTAAAATAACTCAAAAACCTAATATTTAATCACAAGATTAATTAGAAAAAATCAATTTTAGGCACACTAATATACACAATTAACTTAATTAAACATGTTTAATTCTAGATGGCGTTACATGAATGGAGACAAATACCTTTTAAAATGTATTTCTAAAATTTAGGAAAAGAAAATAAATATTTTTTACATTATATGAATTTTAATTTTTTATGTTTTACACTTGATTAATACCTTTAGTCAAAAGAATTATATTAATTAAAAAGGTGTTAATGAAGAGTAAATGATAAAAATATTAGAATGAGTTCACCAATTTTCTCAAGAAAAAATAGGCATACAGTTTAGGCATAACTATTTTATTTTTAAGAGTAATTATATTTTCACCCACTACATTCATTAATGTCCCCACCAATTCATAATTTATATTTATTATAATTTTATCTTGCACTAAAATTACATTAAAACCCATTAAGATATCCCGCATTAATTATAAATGGACATTAACATTTTTCAAAAAGAAAAATAAAAGCGCATACACCTTTAACTATAATAAGAAAAGTATTTTTCAAAGTAATAAAAAACATACCCCTAGACTAAAATCAATTTGAAAAACAAGAAATGAAGAACAAGTTTTCATTAGTTTTGCCTATTATTGATATATTTAGCAAAAACAATTAAGGGAACAGCTTTGCAATGATCAAACTTAGAGAGTTGTTCTTGTGCTTCCTTGCTCAAAGAAGAAAAATAACGAGGCGGAGGTAAGATGAAAACAATTAATAAATAATGGTAAAGAGAATTGCATTATTGAAATATATACATATATATTATTAATAACTGGAAGTGATTATATTATTTCATAAATCAAATCAAGATTAAAATTAAGTATGGGTATTAAAATGGTTAAATTAGGTATTATGAAAGCTAAATATAAAAAGATTGATTTTTTAAATCTTTATTAAATGAGCATTAATTAGTGGGATCTCTATGATTCTTTGAAGTGCAAATATAACTAGGTAATCTTGACAAATATTCTTTAAAAGTGTATGAGTTAAAATTTTTATTTTTTACTCTTAATTTATAACATTTTTAATAAAATAATTATAATAATAAAAGTGTATTATCAAGAATAATAGAGTAAAGGTTCAACTGCACTCTCTAGATAAATTATCTATTTTTTCAATTTATGACTACTCTACTTTAAACGGGCTTATTTGGGCCTTTCTAAAACTGGCCTCCTTTTTGAGTGTGTAGGATCCAATCGTTCGAAAATCACCCCGCGGCAGCACCGCCTTCAGCCCTGTGGAAGGGTGGGACTGTGACTATGTGAGAGTCCCTCTGTTTAGCGGTCTTCTTTCCATTTTCTCCCCCAATTAATAGAACAATTAAATATTGAAAGAAAAAAGAGTTCTCCAGAAATACAGTCGCAGAGAAGAAGAAGAAGAAGAAGCAATGACGACTCGTATAGCGCCAGGAGTGGGAGCCAACTTGCTCGGCCAACACTCCGCCGAGAGAAACCAGGACGCCACTGCTTACGTCGGCAATCTCGATCCTCAGGTCCCCTCTCTCTCTCTCAACTTCTGCCAATTTTTTCTTCTTCTTTTGCTGTAATTTGTTCTGGAAATGGAGGACATTAGGGTTTTTCTTTTCCGCGGAGTGCTCTGTACTTTCGTTTCATAACCTCGCAATTCGTGTTCTTGCAGATTAGCGAGGAGCTACTCTGGGAGTTATTTGTTCAAGCCGGTCCCGTCGGTACGGCTCTTCATTTTCGTCGCTTTTGAAGCACTTTCTTTATCGTTTAATTGAAATGGATTCTATTGAAATTTATGACTTTTAGGGCGTGTTTGGATTTGCAAGGGTTTGTTTCTTTGATATGTAGGATACCTTTCATTTGTTGTAATCGTATACTTCGTCTGTGTAGTCTTTTGTTTGTAATTAATTGGTTTGAAGACTTTTTGCTTTTTTTTTTTTTTTTTTTTTTTTTTTTTGGGTGGAAAAGCTTTCAATTGGTTCGAAGACTTTTAAGAACTTAAAGAGTATATATTTTTATGTATTTTGCTTGTGGATTCCTCATATTCGTGGGCAGTAGAAGTTTGGGTTCGATACTGTGAAAGATGGGATCAGTAAGTGAAAGTTCATTAATGCTTTGTTTGATAAGAGGGAAAGAAATATAACCTAGGTGGGGAAATTAGGGGACGGAGTCTCGACCCCTAAGCTCTTTACCCAATCCATTCCCTCGTCTCTTCTCTCCCCCAAACAACCATAGGTCCAAAAGTCCTTCGGCTAATCCCCTCATATCTCTCCTTCCTTCCACTTTTCCTCCTACCAAATAAGCTCTAGATTTCATCTTTGCGAGATTCAGATCGTCAAAATTTGCTGAGTGTGTCTTTAGAGTATATTGAATTAGTATAGCTATCGTTATTCTGACGTAGCAATGGAATTTCAATCAATATATAAAAGAAGTGATACAATATTTCCTTCTTCCTTTCTTCTTGGTTGTCAATATTTCCTTCTTCCTTTCTTGTTGCCCTTATTCTCTCTCAAATGTGTATCCTTTTTAGATGAGGAGTACCTTATCCCTAGCTTCAAACACTTAAGATTTGACCTTTTCAAATGCTAGATATGAATTTTTATAAATTGTATATGGGACTACTTACTTAACTACCTAAAGTTCACTTATGACTTATTAAAGAAGTTTACTCGAGGAACTTAACTAAGCAAAGATCTCTCTCTCGAATACTAGGATTATACTTGAACAACGTTGCGGTACTCTTGGAGTTAATTTGTGACTTGTATGTCTTTACTTGTGATTAATTGGTTTAGGGCCTTTTCTAAGAATTGAAACAATGCATAATTTGTCTTTTTTATCAATAAACAAAGAAAACTCAGGCTCCTGTTTTTTTTTTTTTGTTTTTTGTTTTTTGTTTTTTTTTGGTGATCAATTGATTTAAAGCATTTTGTAAGAAAATGAAAGATTGCCTAACTTTCTCCTCCTTATGTCAGTTAATGTGTACGTTCCCAAAGATAGAGTCACAAATCTTCATCAAGGATATGGATTTGTCGAATTTCGAAGTGAAGAAGATGCTGATTATGTGAGTGATCTTTATGCAATAATGCTCACTGAGATTAGTGGTGTTCTTGTTCTTTTATATATATATATATATATATATATTTTTTTTTTTTCAACTTTGGAGTTTTCTTTTTTAATTGTATTTGTGGAACAATAATGCAGGCAATAAAGGTGCTTAACATGATTAAGCTATTTGGGAAACCAATACGTGTGAATAAGGTATTTTCATTTCCAAGCTAGTACCTTTCATATTTCTATGAAATATAAACCTGATAGAAATTTACATAGCTTCAATAAGTTATAAAAAATTGTTATGTACTTATGTGATGTGCAACTTTGATTGAGTCTGTGGTCTAATTTCTTCCTAGGCATCTCAAGATAAAAAGAGTTTGGATGTGGGGGCGAACCTCTTCATCGGAAACCTTGACCCCGTAAGTACTAAAAAATGGTAAAAATTTGTATACCAATGTTAATTCTATACTACCAGGTTTAAACTTTGTAACTTGTTCTATTCTTTTCTGGCAGGACGTAGATGAGAAACTTCTTTATGATACTTTTAGTGCTTTCGGAGTCATCGTTACAAATCCAAAGGTATGCTTTACTCATACATTGGCATACAATTCATGAGCTGTTTTGTTGAATTGTCAAAATTTTTGGCGAATATTATTATATTAGAAGAAGAGTGGAAACAAAAGGAGATAAGTAATTATGTATTATCCAGTCATGCAGTTTATCGTCATTTATGCAAGTTACTGTTGCTAAACCTTTTCATGCTTACGGAATTTGCAAGTGCTGGTACGCATATTATCTAGTCTATCTTTTACATGTCTGAATGACAGTGCATTTTCTTGTTTTTTAGCTTTTACTAAATTCAACAAATGTGTATGAATTGGCTAAGCCTAAAACTTGTACATATTATGTTTTCGCTCAGTAATGGACAGCTTGCTGTTTTGCCATCGTGTACTTGATATCACGCCATTTATCCTCATATGAACATTCTCCAATATCATATCTTGTGATTGTTCATTTTTCTTTTTTCTTTTTTTTTTTTTAAATCAAAACAAACAATTTACTTCTTCTGATGTCTTAATTCCGATATATTTAGAGTGGTGTTGTCGCTGATTGGACTTTATTATCTTTGGCAAAGCAAGCCTCCTAGTAATAGTATGTATGACAGTGTCAGTATCTAATCAATTAAATTGGATCTAATAATGGCACTTTTTTTTTCTCAGATAATGAGAGATCCTGATACAGGAAATTCCCGTGGTTTTGGTTTTATTAGCTATGATTCTTTTGAGGCATCTGATGCAGCGATTGAGGTACGCTCTTGTTCCTGTAATGGTTAATCCTTTGACACTGTCATAATCTGCTTAGAAATAAAAGACTGCGATGAATACTTGGTCTTTTGTCATATCAGAAGTAATATTCAACTATTTAACTTGGTTGACATTCATAAACTTTAATGCCTAGTCCACTTGGAATTACTTAGTGTTTGTTTGTTTGGAGGGTTTAGATGGGTTGGAACCAACTTTTGGGTTTAAACTCTCATTTGCTTGTGTGGTGAATTGAAAATAAGAAACTGAGATGAAAAGCTTCTGTTTTTCATTGATACTGGATGCTTTACACGGTATACATATATACAACAACCCTAACATTAAGTCTGTATCCTAACAATTTAGGAAATTAACAAATTAGGAAACTATCTCTAATTCTAAGGAAATAATTCGTCAAACTAATTGCCTAAAAAACCATCTAGCTATAGACGGTTTTCCAGGCTGTATTCCAGCTGTACACAGTTTTTTCCACACTCCCCCTCAAGTTGGTGAATAGGCATTTTCCATTCCCAGCTTGGATACAATCGTCTGAAAACCTGAGCTACTCAACCCTTTGGTGAGGACATCAGTGAGTTGACCATGTGTAGACACATAAGGCATACAAATTAGTCCACTTTCAAACTTCTCCTTGATAAAGTGTCTGTCAATTTCAATGTGCTTGGTCCGGTCATGTTATACTGGGTTGTGAGCTATGCTGATCGCATTGTTATCACAATAAAGTCACATAGGGCCGTCCCACTTGATCTTCAAATCTTCAAGAATAATCTTCAACCAAAGTTGTTCACACACTCCTTGAGCCATGGCTTGGAATTCAGCCTCTGCACTCGATCGAGCTACCACGCTTTGTTTTTTGCTTTTCCATGTTACAAGATCCCCCCCAACAAAGGTGCAATATCTTGAGGTCGATCTTCTGTCAACAATTGACCCAGCGTAATCGGCATCAGTGTATGCTTTAGGAACTAATCCTTCATTCCTTTTGAACAAGATACCTTTTCCCGGCGTTCCCTTTAGATACTGTAGAACTCTATGGGCTGCTTGTAGATGGACTTCTTTGGACTATGCATAAATTGGCTAATTACACTCACTGCATATGCGATATGCGATATCTAGTTGTGTGTGAGACAAGTAAATGAGTCTTCTCACCAAATGTTGATGCATTTCTCTATTTACTGCAGCATCTTCCTCTGCTTTCCCAAGTTTTAAATTCGGATCCATAGGAGTACTCGCTGGTTTGCATGCTTTCTTGCCAGTTTCCTTGAGAAGATATGTGACATACTTCTTTTGAGAAATGAAGATTTCCTGCTTCGAGTGAGCAATTTCAATCCCAAGAAATTACTTCAACCTTCCTAATGCTTTAATCTCAAATTCCTTAGCCAAATGCTGACTTAATACCCGCTTCTCCTCAGAATCATCTCCTGTCAATATTATGTCATCAACATACACCAACAGAGCTGTAACTCTGTTAGGATCCTGGACTCAAAAGAATAGTAAACTAGCAAGAATTTGAACGGAATTCAACTAGTAGTACTTTTTATTGAATATTGATCAACTTTCTAACTTCAACGAGCTCAAACAAGGCTCCCGATTGGCAAGAATGGAAAATACAGGAAAAATAAAGATAGAGAGGGATTTTCGAGGAACCCCACAACCTCCCAAGCTTACAGCTGAGTTACCAGAATTCTCCACCCCTCCCTCAAACCTCCATCCTTTCCCCAAATACTCTCCCTTCCTCTAACCAACTTCCCACGTCAGCAACTCCCACCTTCAGCAATGCTCACATCCCCAGACGAGCCATCCCCACTCACCAGGCCCCTTTCCTTGGGCTGAACTTCTCTATTTGGGCCTGGGCCCGTAGCATCCCCCCTCTTGGCCCTCCTAACATAGACTTTCCTTACTGGAGGTCTAACAAACTCCCCCGGAAGTAGAATGTTTGATGAACAATGTATGATCCCCTTGGCTTTGTTTGTATCCCAAAGTCAACATAACTCTTGCAAATCTCCCAAACCATGCCCGTGGTGACTGCTTAAGGCCATACAGTGCCTTCTTCAATCTACACACAATATGAGCAGTCAAATTCTTCCCATACCCTGGTGGAACCTCCATATAAATCTCTTCCTCTAATTCCCCATGTAGGAAAGCATTTTTGACATCAAACTGTTGCAACTCCCAACCATAATTTGCCGCTAGTGACAACAATACTCGTACTGTGTTCATCTTTGCTACAGGGGCAAATGTCTCCAAATAATCGATCCTATAGGTTTGAGTATATCCCTTGGCTACTAACCGCGCCTTGTACCTCTCAATCGACCCATCTGCTCTATACTTCACAGTAAACACCCATTTACAACCCACTAGTCTCTTTCCTTCCGGTAACTTCACCAACTCCCAAGTTTTGTTCTTCTCCAACGCCTCCATTTCCACATTCATAGCTTGTTTCCATTTTTCATTAGATAAAGCCTTAGACAAGGTGGTTAGAATGGTGATGGCATTTAGATTTACAGGAAAGGCTCTATTAGAATGGTGATGGCATTTAGATTTACACGAAAGGCTCTATGAGATGGTGAGAAACTGTTAAAGGATAGGAAATGTGCAAGAGGATATAAAGGTCGCTTTGTACACTCTCTAGTTCCTTTCCTAATGGCGATAAGAAGATATAAAGGTTGCTTTGTACACTCTCTAGTTCCTTTCCTAATGGTGATCGGAAGGTCCTGGTCATCATTAACCACATGAAATTCAAATTTATCTTGTAAAGAATGGTCAGAATTTGTTACCTCATTCAAAGGATTTAAATTGGATTCTTGGACTTGCATAGGTTCTAGAACAACCTTCCTCTTTGTGAACACGTTGCCTTTGCCAAATCTTACATTTTCTAGGGTAGAATCGATTTTTTCTTGTGGTTCATTTGGTGTTTCAAGTACGGGTTCAAGGCTGGGTATGGAGTTATGGACTCAGTGGGTATGAATGCAGGTATGGATTCAGGAACATGGTTAGAACAAAATGGACAGGGTGTAGCAGGTGTAGGATTGTCCGACTTGGAGATTGATGACAAATCAAGCAAAAAACCTTCCTTATCCTCTTTCAATGAACTCCCCCCCTGAGGATAAGGATTAGAGAAATAAGACTCTTGTTCATTGAACGTGACATCTATCGAGACGTAGAATTTCTTTGACGGGGGGTGATAGCACTTATACCCTTTTTGAGTTGAAGAATATCCCACAAAGACACTTTAGAGCCCTTGGATCTAATTTCCCCCTATTTTGACTATGAACATGGACAAAGGACACACACCCAAAAATTCGGACAAGGTTATTTGTAGTATTCAGGTTTGGGTAAAATGATGAGAGTATGTCCATGGGACTTTTAGAATCTAAAAGCCTTAGGCACATTTTTTTGAAACAAGGCCCGGGTTTTTTCAAGATGATCACCATTTTTCCTTTCTGTTACTCCATTTTGTTGTGGAATGCTGACACATGACGATTCGTGTACTATTCCCTCTTTCTGAAAGAATGGAGTAAGAGTTTGATTGAAATAGTCTCTGGCATTATTGGACCTAAACCTTTTGATTGAGACCCCAAACTGATTTTTGACCATGGAATGGAAATTTGGGAATACAATACTAACATCAGATTTTTGTTTAAGTAGGAAAATTCATGTAACACGAGTACAATCATCAATGAAAGAAACAAACCATCTTGCCCCCATAAACATTAGAAACAATGGATGGACCTCAAATATCACTGCGAACAAGATAAAAAGGAAATGAACTTCTTTTATTACTAATTTGAAAGGGTACACGCTTGTGTTTAGAAAGTTCACACACTTCACACTGAAATCTTTCAACATCTAAACTTTTAAACAAGGAAGGAAACATAGTTCTAATAACTCTAAATGATGGATGTCCAAGTCGACAATGATGGAGAAAATTTTTTTCTTTGTTAAATAAGACACTCTGCTATGAAGGAAGAAGGTGAACTGCCCTTGATCATGTTCAATTGACCTGGTGTTTCAAGATGGTAGAGGCCATTCCTTTCCCTAGCACGTCCAATCGTCCTCCCTGAAATACACAATAACTACTATGAAAAATCACATTACAACATAAATCTTGAATGAGTTTTTGTATAGAGATTAGGTTTGTGGACAGTTTAGGAACGTGAAGAACAGTTCTTAAAATCACAAATGGGCTTCTTTTGATATTCCCTAAACAGGCTACAGTGATTAAGGATCCATTGGCTGTGGTTACTTTCTTATTGCTTGGACATGGGGAGTAGGTTGAAAACAAGTTGGGTGAGTTTGTCATATGGTCGATTGCGCCTGAATCCATGACCCAGGAGTTGGCAAGGGTTGTGTCCGAAACATTTAAACTAATGGAAAGAAGGAAACTCACCTGAATATGCCAAGGAGCAAGTACCTGGAGTTTCTTCAGTCTTACCAAGATTGTTGATGAGTGATCTTAATTTTTCTATCTCTTCTTGGTTGAGACTACTCAATTCCTTCGATGTTGATTCTGCTTGTGGAGTTGCAGCAATATAGGCTTTGTCCTTTGTTCCGTGGCTGATTTCCTTTCTGTCCCCATTCACAGCTTGGTGGCTTTCCATGAAGCTTCCAACATGTATCACGGGTATGACGAGACTTCTTGCAATAAGTGCACCAAAGACTATCACGGTTTTGGAACTTTGGCTGGCTGTTTTTTTCTCCTTCAGGTTCTGTACCCCTCTCCATGTTTGTGACATGTTTGTTATTACCACTAGCCACCGTACCCGGACTATTAGTCTGGTTTGTGGTTCAAGCATTAACCCCCTCCTGCTCTCTTCACTCCGAATTAGAGCCACTACTTCATTAAAACCTGGAACCTCTGGCTTCCCAAGAATCTGTATCCTTACTTGATCAAGTTCTGGATTGAGTCCAACCAGAAAATCATAGACCCTGTCTTGTTCAATAAATTCCTTTAAGATAGCTGCATTCTCGGGGCATTTGGTATTAATTACTCGGTAGTGATCCAACTCCATCCATAAGGTTTTCAATTGGTTTGCATATTCAATGACAGACTTATTTCCTAGTTTTGTCGCTATAGTTTTTACCTTAACCTCGTGTACTTGGGCTGCATCCCTAGCTTTGGAATAAGTCTGTTGAATTGCATCCCATATGTCCTTGGCGGTAGCCAAAAACATGCAAGTTTCACTGATTTCAGGAATCATGGAACTCCACAACTACGCCATGATCATAGAGTCTTCTTCATCCCATGCTTCAAACTTCGGATCATTTGGTTTAGGACCTGTTCCCATAAGATGGCTAATCTTTCCTTTTCCTTTCAACACCGTACGGATGAGTTGTGACCACTTAAGGTAATTTCTTCCATCTAATCTGTACGCTGCCTGAATATTCTACAATTCTTCTAGTTGTTGAGGCCTGATTATCTCCTCTTACTGGACAGCCTTAGTCTTCCCTGTTTCCGACATGTTGAACTACAACAAGAGGATGGATTGGATGGGCACTACAGCAAGATGATGAGCTAACATACCCGGTAGGAATTGCTGGACAGAGGCTGATAAACAAACAAAACAGGAATCGGCAATAAAGGCCGAGAAAAGAATGCTGATCAGAAAAAAAAAAAACAAAAAACTCCCGGCAATGATGGCCAAGAAGCTCCGGCAATGAAGGCCAAGCAAAAATCTCAATCCCAGAGATTCGAGCCTAAATCTTTGATACCATGTTGAAGATTTAGGGGTGAATGATAATTTTCTCATTGATCAGAAACGTATATACAGCCCCCTTTTATACATCAAGACCCCGGTTACCCTAATGCTAATTACATCAATTATCAATTCTAACAGAATTGGGGAACAAAGGGAAAAAGGAAACGAATCAGTAAAAACAGGAAACTAATCAAAACAGAAAAGGAAACTAACTAATAGAGATATTAGAAATGATTCCAAATCTCTTTATTCCTATTCTACTTTGTCAAATATTCTAGGATCTCTGAATTTTCTAGCTGAGAATTTCAACTGGTGAATTGAAAATAAGAAACTGAGATGAAAAGCTTCTGTTTTTCATTGATACTGAATGCTTTACACGGCATACATAATATACAGCAACCCTAACATTAAGTTTGTATCCTAACAATTTAGGAAACTAACAAATTAGGAAACTATCTCTAATTCTAAGGAAATAATTTGTTAAACTAATTGCCTGAAAAACCATCTAGTTATACACGGTTTTCCAAGCTATATTCCAGCTGTACATAGTTTTTTCACGGCTTGCATAACATTTTGAACTTGAATTTGGGTTTAGGGTTCATTTGGACTCAAAATTGAAGGTTTAGGGTTCAAAATTGTTCCATTATTATTGAAAGACTTTCTTACTAAAAGAATAGAATAAATAGTAATCCTTTCCCCGAGATAATCCACTAAAAAATAAGAACCATAGTATATTTTACAATGCAATAAAGTTACATAGCTTATATTTTTTATTGATAAAGGGATATTTCCACGGGGTTGCCTTGGTATCACGTGCTTATGGTTGTATTGAATGATCCCGGCCATTTGACTTAATGCATACAGCTCTGGTTGCTGGTTGGGCCATTTTACTGTTCACAACTCAACCCAAAAGTTCCCACCAATCATTTTCACTCACATTTTTTTAAAAACCCATAGTTCTAATATTCTAACAAAACACTGGTTCAAACTTTATTCCATGTTTAAACCTTACACTACTAAACGCCAGTTCAAACCATAAAAACCCACATATAGGTCCAAACCCAAAGGTTTAAACCCACGTAATTCTAACTCGCAAAGCAAACGGGGCCTTAGAGTACAATGCTGATCTGGATTTTTTTTTAGCAATTGTCTTTGTGGTTTTATGTCTTTTCTTGTTGTCTTCTGTCTTCAAAATCTCAGAAATACCAACTTGGCTGTGTTTTGCTTAATGCTTGTTATCTAGAAAACCACCAAGTGAGTGAGACTGCACATGTGAGGGCTGGACTGATTTTTTCTTTGTTTCAGGCGATGAATGGCCAATATCTGTGCAATCGTCAAATAACAGTGTCATATGCGTATAAGAAAGACACGAAAGGAGAGCGTCATGGTACTCCAGCAGGTGAGGTCCTTATTTACTGCTTGCTTGTTTTGCGTCTCTTGCCGTATTTTTTATTGATATCAATTACTGACTCATCTTGGTAGACTTTTTCGATCAAGACAAATATCATTTTTGGATTCTTTGAGTTCTTGTAATGTTTTTGAAATGGAGCCAACTTACTTTGGATAGTTTTTTCATATCGCACATGTCAATTTGTAATTAGGAGTTTGTGTTTAAAGTGAGAATAGTATCTATCAGTGCCACAAGTAGTAATAATGCATGTTCTGTACCATTATATCGCAGAGAGAGTTTTGGCTGCAAGCAATCCAAGTTCAAAGAGCAGGCCTCATACTCTGTTTGCCAGCGGGCCTCCAACACTTCCCAATGGTCCTCAGGCTAATGGTACTATGGGCGCTCCTGTGCCTCCACGGCCCTTTGCAAACGGTGCCGTTGCTTCAGGCCCGATTCCTGCTCTCCGCCCGCCGCCACCCCAAGGTTTGCCCTTCCCACCCATGCAGGTACCTGGACAACCAGGTTGGCAGGGTCAGCCACAGCAACCAGGTCAAGTTTTGCCACCACCTGTCATGCCTCCGCCTCCAATGCAGCATTTTAGACCTCCCCCGAACATGCCACCACCGCCCCAACAGGCCGCCCCGCTTCCTCAAAGACCTCTTCCACCTCCCATGGGGATGGCCCAACCACAAGGTTGGCGACCACCACCTCCTCCTCAGCAAAGGCCCCAACTCATGCCGCAGGGATCAATTCCTCCCCTTCCCCATCATAACCTCCCCCCACCACCTCCTCCTTCAAGTTGATTATGCTTATTGTAGCATATTTTCTATTTCTGTTAACTAAGTTCCGAAAGTTAAGAGGGACTACTTATTACTAAAAGAGCCCGAGTTTTTTAGAACTCATCAACCTTAATTAACATGTTCTTATAATTTTGTTGATTAAATCTACTCCGCAATCTAAAGCTCTCCTTGTACACGAGAATTTTCTGAAGTGACCTTTGTTATATCGTGCAATCTTAATCCGTAGATCAATCATGTGTTGAAAAAGATCTGTTAGTATTACCACCTTTCTATACACCGCATTGAGGTGATTTGTAAGTATCTTTGTAGGCAATATTCTGCACTTGTCTACAAAGTACCCTCCTTAACAATCACTTGCACTTAGCCTTGTAGACAACTAATCTACACTAGAATTATACAAATAAATAAATAAAAGAGGAATCTATTCTAACTACAGTTGTGAATAGCTTTTTTTACTGGAAAAACTACATACGAACCCTGAAGGTTGATCGACGTCTTTAGCATGCGCACCGTACGGAAGCTTATACATATATATACATATATATATATAAATATATAAATATGCATATATGTATATACATACATACATACATATTACATCCTTTTGATGTCTGTAATTGGGGCAGTATTCTTATTAGCAAGCAGAAACCAATGATCAATCTTGAAGCCTTCAAAACCGAGTCACCAAATCCCAAGGCTGCAGAAAAACAAATATCACAACAATCCAACGGTGAAGAGACGATTGGAAAACAGAGGGTCCTGATTCTTTGAAGCATGCTTCAAGGATCCTACTAAACACAGAGAGATACGTAGAATCCGAAAGATCTAATAAAGAGAAGGGTCTGGCTCTTTTAGGGAGGAGTGTCTGAATTTTGAGCCAGTTTCTTGAGTTTGGCAAGGAATCTCTGATAACGTGTTTGCCTTCTGTGCTCCCTCACTGAGACAATACAAGACTTTACAACATGACCATACCACACAAATATTTCCCATTTTCCCCTCTCCTCTTTCTTTGGAAAACTTAGGGTAGGAACTAAGTTTAATTTTTTAACGGTCTAATTTATGACCAGAAGAAATTTTTCATTGCGTACTTTAACATAGATATTCACAAATTAAAAAGTTCAAAAGTTAATAAACGGTTAAAATAATAGTATAAAAATGCCTACCCACCATAAAAGTTGCTCTATTTTTTTAGGCCCAGGGTTAAAAAGAAGGGGGAAAAAATACAAAGAATTTGGCGTGAGGTTCACGGAACACAGTGAAAGAGAGAAATAGAAAGAGACTAGCCTTTATCTAAATCTATCCCTAAATTGCATACCCGAGGCCTACACATTTTTTATTAACAGAAAAGGCAGAGAAAAGGGTAAGTGATAGTTTTACGAGCAACACCTGAGGCTGTGTGTTTACGTACATATTAAAAGAATAGTACTTCTTTTTGATAATCCAAAACATGTATACGGAATGGCTTTGTTTAGCAAGTCTTTCTGTTTCTGTATAACTTACCAGTACTAGAAATTAATGCAACACAGACCAAAGCATGGATAAACTGAGGAATCTATGACATTAGCCCATGCGTGTTTTGGACTATTACATGTAATGTTGAACAAAACTGTTCTTGTGACTCAAAACTGTTTGAGAGCATCATAAATCTTATCTCAATAGTATCAGTAGCTTTTTCACAGTAGGATGTTAGTGCATGTTAAATTTAATTAAAATCATGTCAAAATAAGTAAATATATATATATATATACACACACAAAATAATAGAACTTGATAAAAATTAAACGGTGTATTAGGAACCTTACCTGTAGGTAAAAATACCCCACCATAGAATTCTTATTATTGCACATTGGGCTCAATAGCAGTTTCCGTAATTAAACAGGGTTTTTGTTTGACAACTTGTAAGTTAGAACACAAAAAAAACACGATACGAATTGTTTTTTATTTTTATTTTCATTTTAAAAATATTTATTAAATAAATACAGTTTACAATTATTTTTATTTTCGTATCTCAAAAAATATATAAAATTATTTTCAAAAATAATCAAAAATTAATTCTAAACGCACCAAATAATTTCTTTAGTTTTTTTATCTTCAAAAGCCATGATAAACGGGTGGACCCAATCGGGACGGTATCCATGTGAAGAAGAATGATTATGCAAAGAAAAAGAGTGTGAGAGAGAACGGGATATTTTATATTGACAATTGGTCATTTAGGAGTTATTTAGTTAAAAAATTCATATTTCAATTTAAATCATAATTCATAATTTATTATACTATTTTTTTTTATAAAAAATACACATAAATTAAAAATAATTCTAATTTAATAATTTTAATTTATAAATCTTCTTATATTCACTATTAATTCATTTGCAAAGTTACAAAATCATTTCATACTAGTCAGTCCTATAATTATTGGTCAGTGTCCAATGGTTGGTCAATGATGGATAATATTGCAGAGGCCAAATCGCTTTCATGCTTCGATCCACGTGTTGCTCTGCTGTTTCCTGTGGAAACGACCGTGCCCACCAAAAAGTGCCCAAAACTCGTTAAATTATCTGTAGCGCATTTAGGTATATGGAAATGGTGTCTTTTTTTTTGGATTATTTGCATATTCACCCCTCAACTTATAGGGATTTAAAAACTTACTCCTTAAATTTTACTCCTTAACTTGCAAAGTAGTTACAAATTATAATGTGCTTCATTTTATTCATAATTATGTTAAAGTTAGTGATAAAAAAATACGTTCGATGAAACTTTTTAATATTTTAATTCAAACCGTAATATAAATCTTTCAATTTTTTCAATGTTCAATATCTTAATCTGGCAAAAAGCAGAGAAAGTTTGATACAATAGCTGCAACTTTTTGTAAGTTGAAGGTATAAATTATCAAAATTAAAAATTTAAGAGGTAAGTTGTCAACCCCTAATAAATTTAGAGGGTAAATGTGTAAAAATACCTCCTTTTCTTTGGAAAAAAAATATAGAAGTGGAAGTTGAAAGGGGTCCATTTCACCTACTGTCACGCCGGGTCTCTCTCTGTGTTTCTTGTTTCTTTGTTTCAATAACTAATGCAATATCACTATTACGTATGAATAATTCAGCAAAAAAAAAAAAAAAAGTATGAATAATGATTCGATAGCCAGTAGTACCTTGCACGGATTTCGACTGCTTAATATAACAATACTACTGAAATAGTAAAAAGTGACGGCTTTATTGATTAGTGTTAATCAAAAGAGCTTAATTCTTTCCTTTAGTTTATTACTCTTTTTTATGCTCACCATGTCCTCCACTAATTCCATCTTCTAAATCATCCAATCAACAACCCTACCTGTCTACAGTCTCAACCAAAGAAGATTCTCAGTACATAACAAAGGTCAATTTTGTAATTTCATAATTCCACAAAAAACTTATTATTTCTCTAGTGTTTAACTTATCAAAGAAATAAAATAAAAAAGGGTTGTAAATTACATTTTTATACTTCGTACATCATCAGATTAAGTTTAATAGACAAATTCACATATACCCTTTTCTAGTCAATATTCTATTTTGACCGTAAAATGTCTAAAATGCCTCTAGGAAAATAGGAAAAACATAACACCTAAAGAGATTTTAAAAACAAACAATAATTAGAAAACCTAAAAGCATATTTGAAAAGAAAAATGAAAAAAAAAAAAAAAAAAAGCCCCAACCATTTGCTGCCCCCTGATCTTCCCATTCCTCTTCTCTGTAAATTTCCCAAACCCAAACGAATTATTCAAACAAAATCAAACCAGCGAGCTAGAATTGTTATATATAATCAACTACAATTCTGTAAATTTCCCCTGATCTTTCCAATTCTAAAAACCAAAGGCATACTTTTTTAATAAACTTAAAACGCAAGGTATAAAAATGTAAATAACCCAACAAAGAAAATCATGTTCTAGCTTCAAGATTTCTTATACTCACATCATACACTGGCGGAGAGTCATTAAAATCGTATGTATTTTACGTACTAAAATAATCTTGTGGATGAAACTCGAGGCAATATTTTCTTCAATACTCTCTACGTAAAATGCATGCAATTGGATTAATACGCCTCCATTAATATACATTACAAAAATAGAGAGTACAACAAATATATAATCATAAAATTGAAAGACATTAGCAAATCAATCAGATAATTTGCTACTACGCACTTAAATCTTCTTTTTTTAGCTTATTTAATATAATATATGATTTCTAATTTAAAGAGCCCTAGAAACTCTTCTACCAGAGGCGGAACTAGATCTCGTACTGGAAGCACAGAACAAGACTTCCCAAATCTCGATAAAAGCTCGGACGATAGCCCCATGGTGGTGCTTTGAATTGAGCGACAAGAAACAGTGCAAGAGCTGCTCCAAATCCTTGTCGTCGAACATCTGCTTCTCCAGAATCATCTCCATCATTGACCTCTTGAAATCCTCGTACGGATCCTCCGACCTCTTCACCACCGCGAAGCTCTCCCTCACCTTCCCCTCCACGCTGCACGGTATCAGCCTCTGGAACACCGACAGCCTCGCGGGCGCCGCCGTTTCGGACGACGTTTCGGTAGTACTCCACCACTCGCTCTCCGAAACGCGCCGTTTGGCGACCTTCTTCTTCTTCTTCTTTTTATTACGTCTGGTTGTGGTCGTCGGGTGATGATTCGGTGCGGCGAGCTCGCGAATGGTTCCGAGAGAGTCGGTGGAGAAGCTTCTAGAAGTGGAGACGAGAGTTTCGATTTCTTCGTCGTCCACGTCGTCGTCGAAGCCGTCGCTGCTGAAGAGTCCGCTTTCCGCGGAGGAGGTGCTGACTCGGATGGTTCTTAATGTCGTTCTCTTCTGCTTCTTCATCTTGGTTCGTCGTTTTTTCTTCTTCTCCGCAGAAGGAGGAGGCGGCGGTGGGGGCAAAACGTCGTCGTCTTCGGCGGAGGAGTTGTAGATTTTGCGGCGAGGAGTTTGGGTCTGGACGACGTCGTTTGTCTTTGGCGTGGTGATCACGTGCCAGTACTTGTCCTCTTTCTCCCAGCGAAACTCGGGCGGGGATTCGCTGCGGTCGTCGTCAGAGAGTGTGGGCTTCGATCTGTTGCAGCATCCGAAAGCGGACGACACGTGGGGCTTCAGGAAAGATCGATGGGGTTTGGATGGCAGTGGTGAGCGGTGTTTGGGAAGTACGGTAGGGGTGGCCGGAGAGAATTGGGAAAACGACGAGTCTTTGGAACCGCATGAATGGAACGAAGGAATGATTCTGGAAATCCTTAACCGGAATCGCTTCGCCATGTTTGTTTACTCTCTCTCTCTTTTTTTTTTTTTTTTTTTGTTTCTTCCCTTCCTTTGTCTCTGTTTGTTTGGGAGCGTAAAGTATAGTGAATCTATTTGTCTGTGAAAAGTAGGGTTTTATATAGGAGGTTTGGTGGGGGAGTTTTTGTCAAAATGCCAAAAGAGAGAGCCAATTATTGCAATCGAATATAATTTTTATTTTCCTTTTATATTTTTTCTAACAAAACTCCAATCAAATCGCTTTCTAAAGCGAAATCTTGTCACTAAACTGTCTGTTTATTACACAATAACATTAGTACTGTTTATAGTTAATGGTACTGCAATGAAGTGACCGATCACTGTACACCTTAATCAAGACTAAAGTTAGCTTTGTCCTTTGGTTGATATTTAATAAGAATGTTAGATTTCAAGCTTTATTTGCAATTCTATATGCCTATATATGTGTGTGTGTGTGTACTCTTTGGTTACGAGAGAAATTTCTAAATACATGTCAATTACTTTAAAATCTTTCGTTTTGGGAGGAATGGAATTTCCCTTGCCATGAAACAGAATAATTCAGAACCAAAAAGGACAGGCAAAAGCCAATAGAAATCCCAACAAAAAAGACACTAATGGGATTAATTTTATTTGTTAGTCAGCTAGAACAAAAAAAAAAAAAAAAAAAAAAAAAAAAAAAAAAACTCTGATCTTACAGATAGTCAATGTAACAAGCTTATACCCAATAATTAATAGACTAAAGTCATGAGAGTGCCTCCTTTTCACCAGCGTGTTACATGCTTCTTTTTTTTTTTTTTTATCTCTCTTATTGAATTATGTTTATTAATTAAAAGGTAGCTAAAGGCAAAGATAGATGAAGCCGCCTTGTCAAGATATGAGAAGGTAGGAACTAGTGTATATTAATCAGGCATGATATGAGGTGTATGATTTGGGCCGTACACTGACGGATTCTTGGCATGTAAGTAGATTACAAAAAATTCTCATAGAGCTAAGAAGTACAAGGTGGAGCATTCCTTTGCCTGCTAATTAACAGAAACACTGCAAAAGAAAACCCACCTGAAACTCAGAATTATATTCTATTTGCATTCAATTCGGTGGCCAAAAGTCAATAATGTCACGACAAGATTCACATCTGAAATGTTGGATTATGTTCTGATACTTCTGATTTTTCATCCAAGATAAATGAAAAAAAAAAAAAACAATGAAAAAGTGGCTTTGATTCACTCTTTTTTATGATCAGCACATAGTATATATAATATGAATAGTTAAACCTTTTCATGGTACTATTTGAGGAGCCAATTCACTTATAAACGCTCACAATATATATTACTTTGTAATTAGTGGTACATATTTTTATGTTCGACCAAACATACTTTGCATTTAATAACTTTTGCAATTTCAAATATTTATTTTTATCATTTTACATATTCATTCAAACATATACTTTCAAAATATTGGAGCTGATAATGATTTTGATGGGATTGGGATTAGATGTCTATAAGTAAAATGAGCATCTAGGCTATGCCGACAATTTTGCCGCCCCTCTTCTATCTTCCAAAAGGATCGGTAAAAGCATATAATTACTGCTTCAATTTGCTGAGGACTTGAGGGAAAACCATGGAAGTAGTTTTTTGGAATTTATCCGTTGATGGGTGGCGAGTACAAAGAAGCGCCAAAAGGTCATTTCATGACTCTTCAAATGAGGAGGGGCAAAAACAAAATATTAACTCAATAAAAAACCGGGAATGTCGTTTTTCACACATCATTTTTAGCGAAGAAATTTGAGCCGGGAGGTCAGGAGATAAAGTATACATTAATGTCAGTGAAAACTATATAGTAAGAATTAAAAAAAAACAAACAAACAACTCACCCTGCAAGATGGCAGGCTGGCTGGGACCCATTGGAACCTTACGAGCTATGAGTGGGAATTTCCTTAGGCTCCTGATGGTTGCTAGTCAAAAAGAAAGTGTTAAAAGCTTCGCAAATAATTAATTTATTATATGTTGGATTCGATTTCCTAATATCTCCTCTGCTTCGCTTCTCTCGATGTTCTTTAACCACAGCGTCATTATAATTATGGTGTAAGAATTGAGTCAGAACCGGACTAACTCAATCGATCTGATTCAATCCGGCCCGAAAAAATAGGGTTATATTTTTTAAAAAAAATTTGGATTTAAATAGGCCCAACCCGTAATTTATGGGTTGGGCCGTGGGTCAGGCAATATTTCACCCGAGTTGCCCCGACCCGCCCGAGTTTGTAAGTATAAGTTTGTGTAACCCTAAGTTCCTTCCTCTCAGCTTTCGCAGATCGCACGCAGCCTCCCCCTCTCCTGAGTCCCCTCCAGTTTCACTTCAAGCCTCCCTCGCCTCCCAAACCTCGATCTCGCCTCCGTTGATCTCGCTCCCTCACCCCCTCAGTCACGCATTCTCTCCATTTTGCTTCTGTTTTCACCGTAAGTGTTTTTTTTCTTTATTCGATTCTATCAACATGTGGGTTAATGCTTGTTCCAGCTTTATTTTGTGTGTCATCACTAGATTATTCTCTTGATTGATGGATTTTAAGAAAAAAGAATTCATTTCTTTGCTTTGTTTGTTGTTTCCTTTTGCTGTTTTCTGTTTGTGTGTGTGTG